TTATAATTAAGAAAAAAAAAACAAGATAGCTTAGTTTGTCCCTGACCTGCACGTGATAAAACTCCGACATACAATCAAAAGTACTTACCGAACTTTGAGCACCACCTGAACTCGAATCTCTGCCAGCTGACATTTTGATAATTTGGATCAGCGTCTGCAGGTATTTTTGTTCGTGTAATTGTTAATTATATAAATAGTGTGCAGAAATTTGCAGAACAATATATTTTTCAAATCAAAGCGGAGAAAAAGAACAAATGACTATCAATGTTTTTTCTTCATAATGCCATCTTCCATGGCCTTAAAGAGGTGTGAGGTTTGCAAATGTATGCAAACTCTTTTTAAGTTCGTACCGGCTGCTATGGTGACACAAAATGGCAGACAGACCCCCGAAAGCACATCATTTAGTGATGCACTATTAGGAAAAATTAACAGATTGTTTTCAAAGAGGAAAATGTGGTTTTGGCAGTCCTCGCGTGATGATAACCTGACACTGCCTAAAGAATTCTGAAGAGACCGAAACAAGTGGAAATCTGAAGGTGCAAGGTCAGGGTTATACGGCGGATGCATTAACACCTCCCAGCCAATTTTTGGTGAGTGGCAAGAGATGTCTAGCGTTATCACGATGAAAAACCATACCCCTTCTATTGATTAATTCTGGCCGCTTTCTCTAAACTTCTTGCTTTAATCTCATCAGTGGTTTGCAGTAGAGTTCAGAATCGATGGTTTTGTCTGGCGGTAACAGCGGTAATGAATAATGCCCTTCCAATCACCTTGTTGCGAATTAACCCGGGTTTCGCCACAGTCTATGAAACCTGACCGACCTTTGACCACAACCTTTTTCGCATGTTCTTGTGGTATGTGATCCACTTTTCACCATCAGTTATCAGCTTTTTCAAAAATCACGATTGAGATCATGAGGTACCTAAAATATCATCATAAATATCGAATTTATTTATTAGATTCACTCATTTTGACAGTAAGTAAAACAAATGAAAATCAAACATAGGAAAATGTTTGAATTCGGAGTTATCTTCTTTAAAATATAAACTTTTTAATGATGCCGAAACCAGCCAGATACAAATGGTATAGTCAGAAGGATTTTATTACAAATTTATGCATACTCTATGCAAAAAGACTTCCCCAATCGAAAATTTCTTCTTGAAATTTCTTAGTATAATATAATTGAAACGGTAAAAATATTATTGAAGCTACGTAACGTATTCAACAATTTCGAATTAAAATTTAATTTTAAAGGAAAATTTTAATATTTGAGTTTGTCCGTTATTTGCATGTCCTATAGGGTTTCTTGAACTCTCTTTGATTGTAATCGGTCTCATCACGTAAAAACGATGACTATGATTAATAGTTCGAATGTTTTTATCAAAAATTATAATATTTGTCCTAAATATGGATGAAATTTGGAAAAAAAAAACTTACGGACGAAAGGCTTTCTGCCTAGTCAGTAAAATAATGTAATGGATGCTTAACACTTGCGCATATAACGTGGATTGATAGAAGCTTATTGAGTGATTATATATTAACATACGTTTATTGAGTGATTATATATTAACATATGTACGTATATAGCTTTAGAATATTATATTTTAACCTAATTCATAGGCAATATTTAGTTATTTTGACTTATTACAAATTCTGCGATATTTTTTATAGTTAAACGGACAGAACAATAGAGGACCTTTTTTTCGATCTATAAATATAGCTTGCGCAGTATATAAGTATATATATGTAGCATTCATTATACACATATGCGAGTTCATTAATACTTTGTAATGACATCATTCTTCCAGGACCGATTTTTGTATATATTTGAAATACTTGAGAATAATATTTTTTAAGTGTGAAAAGTTAATAAATCTTTCAAAAATTCACTTATACATTGGTATAAGATTTAATAAGAACATTCAACAGATTAAAGCTTAAAATCCATTGAAGAAATTCGACTTTTTTGTCAACTGTATATTGAAGGTTGACTGTACATGAAAGGTAGAAGATATTTGGAGTCATATATGTCAGTGATAACAAATATTTGTGGTTTTATTGATTATTATTTTTCATGAATATCACTAAGGATTTAAGGCGGCAGTCAAATTATTGCCCAGAGCTGCAAAAAGGGTTGGCCGGCCAAATTTAAGGCAACTATCGGTGTTCCGACGAAGCCCTATCTAGAAAAAGAAAATTACAAAATTCTTTACGTACAAACCCGAAGAAAACTAGCCACTTACAGGAATAACATCCCTTGAAGTTCACTCATATTGTTTATGTAAAGGAAGGCGAATATTATTTTTTCCCAGAAAGGTTAAACAGTTCTGTCCCTGGTCGAAATTTTCCAATATCGTTTCTTCTTTATATTAGTGATTTAATTGAAGCTTTTACTTATAAAAACATGCTATTAGTGTTAAACTAATTTTTGCTATTCGAAATACGAAGCTGTTTGTAATAGAATAGCAAAATGTATACTCAAATAAATTTGGTTCATCTTGCAATTACAGTTAAACCCTAACGTACTACCAGTACATTAAATGGCGTTCCAATAGTCTCGCGGTCAAGGCAGGTGCTAGAGAAGGGAACCAAGAATGCGCTGCACTTCTGTCTTGCTCTAACAAGGCTGCATTGTTCAGTACAGTCATATCACTGATATTTTATTAACAGTAAAAAAAATGTGATTATTTTAAAAAACGGGTTGGATCGGATCAAAGATCTTATAATATGCAACAACCCTTCGTTAGCGAAATCTGAAAAAGGAAATACTATCCATAAAAATTACAGGAGCGTATCATATGTCATTGCTTGATATTTGGACCTTTTCGCATAATAAATTGATATCTTTACTTAAGATCGTTAAATGTGAGTGTGCATAAGTTGTAAATTTGGCAATCTCGCCAAGTTGGTCAATGAAACCAAAAGAGACAGAGATAGTGTGTCGCGCGTCTCATATTTTTAATTCTATTATTATTTTTGAAAATCATTACGATTTTTAAAAACAGGAGAGAGAGATTACAGGGTACCTTATATAGTTTTCAATTTTCAATGTAGAATGATACAAATGTAATATTGATAATTTTAACAAATACCTTTGTAAATGAAGTTTTGAATTACATTTATTTATTTATTTTAGTTATAGCTTATTTATTTGGATAGGAATAAATTCGTTATTAGTAATTTGGTTTAAGCGTTCTGTTAATAGTGGCTTCAATTGTTAATTGTGATCTGTTTTAATTTTATATTAATTAAGCAAGACCGGTGTGGATTGATCACATGACTTAAAACATGGTATAGGTAATTCAATTATTTCAGGGTTCAAATCTATTGCAAAGTAACTTCTTTCTTCTCATCTTTGAATGAACATAATTAAACATTGTTCTTTTTTGTGACAAGTAGTTATTGTCGCTTAGTCATTACAAGATTCGTACTCGTTTTTTTTTAATCGAGAGGCCACCTGTTAATGCTACAAGTCTGAGCGTGGGCGGCGCCCGCCCTGACTCTATGTCAACACATGTACAAGTACGGGCAACTCAAATAATGCTTATTTCATTACAAACCAATATTGGAATACGATTAATGCATCTCATCAGAAAGTCGTGATTATTGAATGTCAACCAAAAATTTTATTTTTTATTTTTTCAATTACATTTTATAATGAATGATTCCATTAATGTTCATCCATTAATGTTTGGTTATTCTGTCTGACAGGTTATAAAAATATAATTTTATATGTAAATTAAACACTACAAGAAAAAAAAATGTATTTATTTTCGTTTGGTGTCTACACCCGTGTTGTTCCTTACGCACGTTGATAATATGTACTGTTACATTTACGCTTTTAAGTGGCGCGACTTTATTGCATCACAAACGCACTAACATATGAACACCATGCCGTGCTGCAGAGTGATTTATAAGCGATGCGAGGATTCACTTGAATTGATTGGTCATTGGTTTGCAAGCCAATGAGATAAGCCCCATAGAAACGTCACGCAGCCCGTATCGATTAATGGAAAAGCGCTTAATTTACATATGATTTGTAGATTTTAGTTCGAAATCTTTGTGGTCTCCATAGTCTAATGAGAGAGTCTAGAGACGGGTTTAAACCCGTTCAAAAAGCTTATTTTTAACCGAATTCAAAATTCAAAAGGAGAAGGTTATACCTATATGTTCGACGGCGATATATTTTTTACGTATTTTAATTTATCGAAATCAAATCAGTAGTTTTCTTTTTATAATTAAACAAAATACGCCTTTTACCAGATACCTATCACCTAAATATTTAGATAATATGTATTGTATTTCATCTATCTCAACTAAAAAACAAAAAAGAGTATTTTGAATTCATTCAAAATCCGAGAGGAGGATTTCCGTGTTCAATATTATGTATATTTTTTATAAAAGTACCTATGTTAATCGATTTCTTTTAGAATTGTGAACCAATTTCTATTAAACTAGCTATTTCCCCGCGAATTCAACTGCGTAAATTATAGCCTATGTCCAACGCGTATTATGTAGCTTGCTATACATAAAAGTCTTATTAATCGGTCCAATAGTTTCGAGATTATTCAATGCAAACAAATAAGCAATTAAATCTTACCTCTTTATAATATGAGTATAGAATTATTGGAAAAAATATGTCGAGCAAAATAAACAAATAAGACTCTATGTTGAATATTTCATATTTTTAGTGTTTCTAATTGTATAAAAAATCTCAATATCACTAAAAAGTATGAAATAAAAACAAAAAATATAGAACCGACTTCAAACTTTCATAAGTGATAAATAATACTTATCTCGAAAGTGACTTATTAACGAAAATGCTATTGAACTCGGGCGCCTATCATTTATTTAATAACCTACAGAAGACCTACGCCTGACTCCAAGGGCATTTTCTTATATCATTTATCACTTTTAAAGTTTGGCTTCGCTTCTTATTTTTATTTTATTGTTAACTTTCTGTTTTATTTTTCTAACATTTTGACTTTAATTGTCCTCAGAAACCTGGCTCTGGGCATTGGTATCCAGAATTTCCCCGAAGGTTTAGCTGTCAGTCTGCCTCTGCAGGCTGCCGGCTTCTCCGTGTGGAGGGCTTTCTGGTAAGTATACTAAATTAAAAAAAAATGTTTTTTTATTTATTTAAGGGTAACATTTTTTAAAAATATAACAATACTAGTATTTTTACGTTTAACGTAGCTTAAAAAATATGAAGATACACATAAGTCGATAAAAAAAACGGGATTTTTTCAAAAGTCGTAACCAATTCTAGCCGTTTTTAGTCACGTAACGAAAAAATAAAAACAGTTTATTAAGATTTAAAATCCATTATTTTATGAAAACTTAGATTTCGTTTTTATCATTAATAAAATAATAATACAGAGTATCGATAAATTACTTAGATTGTTATTGGTATTTTGATTTAGATTCAATATTTTTTTTTTTAATCTAATCAAACTATATATATTTTGTTCATCAAAGTAAACTGGTGAATTTCGAATTGAATATCACTTAAATGCAAATGTAGGAACGTTCGATAGATAGGCCTGCAGCACGCGTACCGCCGTTAGGCCACATGCCAACGTAGCCAGACGGCCGACCCCATTCTTGGCCAGGCTAATTCGTTTAGAGGCCCGCTAGCTGTGGGATAGCTGACTCTTGTTAGAAGAGTTACAGTTCAGAAAGTGTCATTACATACAGGCTAAGTTTGCAACCAGTGTGCGAATTTCTTACATTAATAGAAATATGTCCATATTTTTATTAAGTCACAGATACGGGACATACTAATACACTGGCATAGTCACATAAAATTAAGACAAAAAATGATAAAACAGTATAAAAAAGAAAGAAATAAATATACTAGATTTTTTTCATTTGATGTCTTACGACTGCCGCAATAAAAGAGCTATCTAATTCATCAATTGTCAGGTTCTCAACGAACCTGCCGTTGATTTCCAAATGGCCCCTTGTCTTCTCGGCAAAATCTTTATTTGATTAATTAAATATCATTATTAATTAACATTTTCATTAATTTAATTAAATAGTAAGATACAAACTGTAGGTATTTGTATAAAAATCTAATATCGTAGTATTTATAGGCATTATTTTATATTCGTAATAAAAAAAACGGTTTACAGTAACAAACACGTAATTTGAATTTTGATTCCCCACCTCTGTGTGGTGATGGAATCAAATATTGGTCCTTACTAGTTTTGTTGTACCCAAGGTTCCAGCTATTTAACACAAAATTCACTTAATCTGTTGATTTATAAGTCGCGCTCTATATTAGACTACTGGGACAAACCTTGAATAATACACTTTATGGGTTAATCGATGTGTTCATTTTAGGAGATTTTTTTTCCCTGAAGAGAAAATAAAGTCTCCGTCCATTACGGATTCCCCACCGCCCTCGAATTTGCCACTAATGCTCGCTTAGATCGGGCCCTGGTTTTATCAGCAAAAAAATTGAAACTATTACAGTGCGCGACCTATGAAATATCTGAAATCAACCGATTCCATTATTCTTTTCCTCCTTAACGGTCTGTGACTTTGTGACACAAATGAAGTAACAAAAGAGAAATATCAAATCTTATCCACCTAAAACGCGTACAGTTTAATTCCGTTTCTCCATGAACAAAGTAATTAAAAACTTAACATTCCACAAAAAGTAGGTATATATTGAAATTATGCATACATCTCAACATTTTTATAGAAACTCGATATAACAGTGTTAATAATTAACGAAACGAATTGGTTTCACACGTAAATATGCGAAGAATCTGTAGCTATTTATTAGTTCGCTGTATTAAGGCAATGGCATGTTAGAGCCAAAGGTTACCATCTGCTTAGTGAAATGCTGTACGTGCACGCACGTTACCAAATAGGTAAAACTTGTAAATAGTCGCATTCCGATTGAAGCTCTATTTTTGAATCGTGCGCCTTGCGTTGAGAAAGAAGACGAACGTCTTCTTTTAATTTTCGATCGCTATAAAAAAACGTGTTAGTGACTCCGTTCGTCGACTGCAAAGAACGGCGTCAATCACTGATCGATAGACAAACGCTGAAGTAAATTGAAGAATAAAACGTTAACGTACAAAAAACAACTTTTTAACATGACTTTTTTACTTAGGTACGCAAAAATTTTACCAACATATATTTATGTACTACAAAAAACAAAATCTACAGCAATTTCTTATTTAAATAATAGTATATAATTTTAACGTACCTTAATTCCATTTACGGATTTTCATTATTAAAATACACAATACAAGATAATAATTAGTAACGTGTGTTAATATTTTTCAAAAAGCTTTATAGGCCAGTAGTTTGCTTGTCCGGTCTCTAATGCGGAGATTAAGCAAAGTCCTGTCATAGGTTGGGTGACCAAGAATTACTATCTCGAGATATTGCTGGGAGAAAACTCATATTTGAGTTCAATTTTAAAATTTTCACATGTACTCACAATTTGATTCCATGCGTAAATAAGGCCTGTGTCCTTGCTCAATAATATTAGGAGTATCAAAGATAAACGATGAAAACTGCAGAAAAATAGGCTTTACCGTGCATTTTATAGGTCTACTATTAATCGAGCGTTTCAAAAATAACCATCCGTACTCAGTGCCGCCCGATGGGATGGCGCCACGCCATGTGACTTTGAGTCAGGAATGCACCTATTACGGATAAGTCTTAAATAAGAGTTGCTGTAAAAACAGCCCTCACGGAGTTTCAAAAAATATCGATTTTGAGAGAATTGCTATATTCTTTTAAATACAGTCAACTTTAGTTAAGTTTGAAATGACAATCTGAATGCCTTATATATAATATGAGGTTATTTTACTTAACAGACAAAAACATTATTTGGATAAAATTTAATAAAATACTGTTGCAACAAAATAGGTAACAAAATATTTGTCAAATCTTGTTCTTAAGGTAAATAGCCTATGCGTTACATTAAACGTAAATCGATATTGGATTTTTGCTATGCTATGAAAAGTTCGTCTTACAAAAGGGATCCCATCAAAAACATAACTTGTACAAAAATGCACAAGTGTCACAAAGTAATTCTTCTGCCGTAAAAGGTTATCAAATTCCATTAGGTTATCAAAAACCAAGTCGATTATTTCAGTACTTATCTTTCTGCGAGAGCAGTAATCCAACCATGTCATAGACTTAGGAATTCTTTATTACCTGTGTACTATTGTTACCTATGTACTTTTGTATCATGGATGGCCTAGAAGCATTAATTTATTAAAACCTAAAAATTTCATGGTATGCATGAATCGAAAATGACCGCCATTTACTTTTTATACGTCCTATATATTATTCGTCCACTCTGTTCAAAACGAGACTTTTATGCCTCAGAATAAATGTCAAATTCAGTGAAGTTTATAGGGTGTGAACATCAAATCAGACTAAAATTAAATAATCAGATTAAAATAAAAAAAGTACGGCAAGTCGATGTCGAAATTGATTTTATATGTAACTCCACAAGACAACTTATTCACGAAAGTTGTTCGTGACTTAAGAATGCCCAAAAAATATTATGGCAAACGGAATTGCTACTAAAAAAAAAAAATTTGAAATACCTACCTACATATTCAGTTACGACCATAAACTAAGACCATGACATCTTCCGATCCTTAACTGAGGCAAACACGATACGACTATGAAACGGACTGGTTAGTTACACACCTGCAAATAAGAGTGATAATTAATATAGAGGTATAGACTCATTGTATAATATTACACCGAATTGGAGACGAAATGAAAAAAAAAAAACAATATTATTGATCAAATCGTCATTGCACATTTTGTCTGCTCTTCGCGTCACTGATGGCAGTTACGAATATTTGGACCAGATTATAATTGATAGGTTGGATATTCCTTCCATTCATTATTTTTTACTCTATCATCCAATAGCGAAAAACTAGATAGTAAGATGGAGTTCAGTCAGTATATTTTTTTTTTACATTTGCACTGGTTGCGTCAAGCCTAGTGCTTCTCAAGTATGTATTCGTCTAAAAAGAGTTGGACTCCTTTAGACATGAAAAGCCCTGACCTTTTTCTGACATTGCACGTTCTAACTAAATTGCATCTAATCACCATTCGCTTCGTTATTAGCCATTTCGATGGCGTAATGTGTTCTAACGTCAGGTTTTATGGTTATGATAAAAATATAAATACTGTAAGTATCAATATTTTTGCTATATAATTTCGCAATCCGCTTGTCTACAATGGAAAAATTGTGCAGTTGTACATCTCGCCTCTACTATTCACCTCTATAAGGAAGCGATTTTCCACTGGGAAAACATTGCAAACGTTCACACCATCCTATCGAGGATGTATCGACTGAATCGCAAAACGTCACGAAACAGAAATGAAATGAAACCTTCGACACGAAATTTGCCATAAGAGAAAGATGTAAGGGTTAAATAATTTGTAAACTACTGTAGTAATTTTATAACCTCTGTTATTAATTGCAACTTAACATCACCTTCGTTACATGTGAGCTTCAAACTTTCTCCGGTAACGGTCTTTTCATATCCACTTGTTTATGTGGAATCGGTGGTAAGAATGCGCTCGAATGGAATCCTGTAAGCGGAGGCAGGAATGCGCGAGCGTCGACCTCGCTACCCTTGCCAGTGTTCTGCTCAGCCTAGTTTCGCGAACTGTAGCGCCAACAGCTTACGTAGTAGGGAATAGGGTAAAAATGCAATGCATTCATATATAAAAATTGAAGCTTTAATCGACATAATATTGTTTTATGTTACTTCATCATCATCATCATCATCAGCCCTTTTACGTCCCCACTGCAGGGGCTCAGGCCTTCCTTATGGATGGTTAAGGAGGATGGGCCATGACCCTCCACGCTGGCCCAATGCGGATTGGAGGGTATTAACGACTGCAAATGCAGCCGGGACCAACGGCTTAACGTGCCTTCCGAAGCACGAAGTAGCTCGAGATAATATTTTTTTTGGTCACCCATCCCGTGACCGACCCTTGCGAAAGTTGCTTAACGACAACGATCGCAGGCCGCGGCGCTTATCCACTACGCCACCGAGCTACTTTACTTATGTTACTTATTATCTGCTATATATATATAGTGAGTACATAAATGAAACAACTTTTAAACGGTTTCATGGCGTTTGTTTTTAGTTTTATTGATGTTGAACATGGACCCTTTACATGTTTACATTGCGCGCGTAATTAGCCGGCCGAGCCGAGAGAAACATTTGTGATTAATAAATGATCGAATATTGAAAACTATAATAATAACATATTATTGTAGAACAAGTAATGCCTTGGTGTGGTTAGATGGTTATTAATTTCTTTCTTTAAAAATAGCAATAAAAAACTCAATAGGTATTGTTTATTGTTATTTCTAATTACATAAATTTTTATTTTTACTCATTTCGCCTCACTTTTCTCCAACCGATTAATATAATTTATCTAAGGTAACGTATTTAACGTTTGCACTAATAGGGATAGCGAGCGAGTAAGAAAAGAAATTCTATTTAGTCCGTTAGTCAGATAATAGAAAAATAACAGATACGTATTTTTTTTACTTCAATTTAACGAGGAATAGCTTAAATGGATAACAGGCATTGCATTTGAGGAGTGACTCGCTACGTCACAGTTTTGTAGAAAATCTACCATTATTAGTCCGTCGGGTAGATTGTTGAAAAATATTAAACACGTATTTTTTTCGTAATCATAAAATTAAGGCGATACATGGAGTTGAAATTTCGCATGACGTCACATGATGGTACGTTTTCTACAAAACTGTGACGTAGCGAGCCCCCATTCCTCAACTTTAATGCCTGTTATCTAAGTTATTTCTCGTTAAATTGAAGTAAAAAAAATACGTATCGAATATTTTTCTATTATCTGACTGACGGACTAAATAGAATTGCATTTTTTTTACCTAGTCGTTATCCCTATTTTGTTGAGTGAGTTTTCGCGACGAGCAACTGCAACGAGGAACCTCACGAGTGAGGACTCATCACTATCCTAGTGTAGTTTGTTGGAAAAACGGAGATTAGTATTATGGTGCGTATAAACTGATTCTGAGACGGTTATGCATTTGACCATTCGTTGTTTGGTTCATAATTGGGTTGGGGATCATCTAATTGCTGGAATTTGAATTAAAACACTTTATTAACATAGACAGCATAGAGGTTCAATTAAATAAACCTAATTCAAAAGGTAATAAACGTTTTATTTTGTTGACAACGCTGTGCTTTATTGTAGAATAGTAAAACGGAGATTCTAGTTTCTCGAGAGATAATGGAATTTTAAAATTCTTTGTGTTGTCTCATACATTTTGAACTATCGCTCACTTGTATCTGAATTGTCAGTATTCTAATGTCATTCATTCGCACGGTGTAAAAAAAATTCATTTCGTCCTCCTCCTTCAGATCTGGTTCAGAGTCGCATCTCGTCACACCAAAAAAAAAACGTAATTTTCGATTATTTATGGTGTAAATAGACCCACCCCGGTCAGGTATAATATATTATGAAAAAGTGTTTCTGCTGGCTAAACAAAACATAACGCTGCGATTAGTTTGAAGTTTCCTTGAACTGCTCGTTCCTTAAGAACGGTGTTTCTTGAGGACCCATTAATTCGCACTGAGTTTTGTGACCTAAATATATTGTTAGGAAAACACTTACATTAAAATAACCCCTAACATTTTTTTATTAACACGCACGCACTACGAATATGAATATACATACATACGTCGGCGTCCTCAGAGTTTGTCTGGATCGTATGAATCGCTCACCATCATCATTCTATAATTAGTTCATATATATATAGTTTCGTTTTGCTACAGCTTTTATATCGGTCAATGCTAAAAATAAAGACTTAAGTCTATATCTTATCCTATTTAACTGTTTCTCATTGTTGAAGAGAACGGTATTTTGTATGATTATTTCACTTTGAAAATTTGTTTTGAGAATCTCCATAGATCTATCACCTTTTCCCACAGTGCAGATTCTAATTCTTGGTTGAATTACTTAATTTTTTTATGAAAATCAGCCATGTTTTAATTATTTAGGTTGGTCGCAGCAAACAAAAGATATTCTTTGATTAATTACGAATATAGTAATAGTTATTATGCCAAAAATTCTACTCCTGCTTAATATTTGACATTTTCCAGCTTTTTAATGGCACTCGTTCAAAGCATCTAGGTTTGCTCCAATAGGCACGATTTCGAGATTCCACTAGTAAAACTGTTTGGCCTTCTCTTCGCTTCTAGTAACGAATCCCTATAACGTGACCGTGCCAAAATAATTTTAATCCTGCGATTGTAACTCTGGATATGATGGACTTTATATTAATTCAATTGGCACTATAATCTGGACGTCCACGCTAAATGCACACTATAAATCTTTATGAAATATCATAACTACTGTAGGACAATGCATCGAAACGAAGAAACATGTCAGGACATCATCAGCCCCTACGGTCCCTTAGTTTGCCGTAATAAACCTAATACTTAGCTTGAGACTGTTACTTTATACATTACAATCAAATATTTGAAAAAGTAGGTGGTGAAATTGGAAGCAACAGCATATTAGGACGCGGTGCGGAATGCAAGGGGCGCGGAATGCGGCCTGGACAAGAAACGCCCTTGGGCTGTTCTTGTGATGGGACCATTTGCAAGCTTCCAACTGCCAAGTAGCATGCAAGAGAACTCTTATGTTAAATCAATATAAGACTATATGATATACGCTACTACTTATAAGATACCAAATTAAGTCTTTAAAATACTTGAATTAATTGATATACTGCGATTATATAAAATACAGAAGAGTCAGTTTTCTACAATAACTTTATTATAGTACTGTACAAATACATTAAAAAATCGCAATACCATAATTACAAAGATACTCATAGACAATTTCGATACCTTCATATTGTATAAGCCACAACCGTTTATCAGAGCTCCTGCTACCAGATTCGATCTTATACATAGAGTAGACAGTAACCTATCATACAAACCAATAGTGACCCTAACATAAGATTAACATCGGTATTTATAAATGTTATTCTTGTCCACTATCCAAAGAAATCACTACATAATGACTGGTTTCTGGCACTCACTTCTAGACGGCGGAAGATAGGACAGATTTTTTTTTACCACGCTGAATTGCCGATATACTGTTGTGTTCAGAAAAGCAAATATTATGAGGACAATATTTTTAGTGATATTATAAAGGGGACGGTCGATTATTTGTTTGTTTGCATTAAAAAGGCTCCTTAATTACGGGCCATTATACGTTGGTGAGATTGATTATAATTAGTCTTGCCATAAATACTTTTAAAATTAAAAATAAAGAAATTATTACTTAAACAATTTACTTTCTCCAGGTACTCCGAGATGGGAGTATTGTTAAAACAAAAATGATCAAATTTTACTTTTGAATTTCGAATCTATTTTATATTTGTTATATTTTTTTAATTTCGCGTAAATACATTATAATAGTTATTTAAGATACGAGTGCGGAAAGTAAGAAAAACCTTTTACGCTCAAGTTTCTTACAACATTTTTCAATGCTTTTTGCGAGGAAATAAAACAAATATAATAAAACTAAGTATGTATTAAAGGTAAAAATTATCTGTTAAATGTGATATTTGAACATGTTTTCGTGTCTTACATTTTTATTTGAAAATATTCGTTTTAGGCTCCTTGAAATAATTTTGCCTCTAAAGTTTGACATTTTTCATTATATTTTTTTTTTTAATTTCTTTGGTGCTCGGCCAAAAAAAATTAAAAATTTCTTTTAAGCACGTGTGCAATAAAGGATTTCAGTACATTTTTATTTATCACGTGTTTAAAGTCTCACTTTCGGTGTTTACAATGGATTAAAAAAATTGTGCTTTTTGAGCAACTGCATTGAAAAATATTTTATGATATTAAAATGGAGTGGGATGATAAAAACAACCGCATCGCTGTGATTGCATTACGTAAAGCAGATTTGGAGCTAAGTACAATTATAAAAACCCTTCATATGCTTGGTATTAGTCAAATGTTTATGTATGGAGCTATTGATAGGTTCAATGAAACCTCCTCTGTTTGTGACAGAAAAAGATCTGGACGTCCACGTACTGTTCGTATGAAAAAGGCGATCAAAATAAGGTGAAGTATTTGAAGTAACCCGGTCCGAAAGTAAAAGATTTCATCTTGGGAGATGAAGGTAGCACCTCGCTAGAATTATGTCGCGTATTTTAAAAGATGACTTAGGACTTGCAGCCTATAAGAGACGCGCATTGTTCACATCTTAATAGATAATTTTAAAAATAATAGGGTGGTAAAATCAAAACAATTGAAAATATTTTAACAAACATAATTGAAAAGTTACAATTGAATAATATTTTAACAAACATAATGACCGTATCTATGCTCAAAGTTATAATAAACCTTCACGATTACCCAACAAAGTAGAGCTTGGGTATTATCCGCTTTGGTAAAGTATTAACTATGAAGGAGAGACATATTTTTATGAAAAAAGCATCAAAACATCAGCACAAGTATATCAAGATACCATTCTAAAAAAGGTTATTCAGCTCCTTAACAATACCATGTACAATAACAAGAAAGATCCTTTCAGCGAGACTCAGCGCCATGTCATAAAGCTCGATCCACCAAATCTTGGTTAGAAACGAACTTTCCGGACTTCACCCGAGCTCAAGACTGGCCATCATCTAGTCCAGATCTAAATTCCGGATTATGATTTATGATCAGTTTTTGGTGAATAAGTTTTGCTTCAAACGCCATAACAATTTGAAATCCCTAAAACCAACCATACGATTGGTAGTTAAGAATTTTCCCATGGAAAGAGTACGTGTGTCTATTGATAACTGACCTCAAAGTTTGAAGGACTGTATTGCAATGGAGAATGCTAATGGAGAACACTTGTAATAAGTCTTATATAGAGTATTTTAATGGCTTAATTGATGTATTAAACTAACACACTTTAATAGTAATAATTAATATTACGTTCAATAAAAACACATGTTGATTTTCTATGTAAAATTTGTATGACAAGACTATGTAATTACATGAAATCGCGGGCAAACATATACACACCGTGCCACATGAATAGGACCAGTGCATTATCCATTGCTTTTTAAAATATGAATAAAAATAAATATCTAGAAATAAAAGATATTTAAATCTTAAGACATGCCACTTTAACTATAAACAATGAAACACCAAAAACACTCAACGAGGCGCTCGCAACAATTCCTATAGTCAATGTGTCGCGCCAC